TTTGAAGGGAGAAGCTGTGGGGAGGCACAGCCTAACATGGAACACTGTAATCCTGGGGACTGCAGAGGTACCCAGTTCAAGGGCCCTTAGGTACAGGTACCCACTTGTGTGCCAACCATGGTACTTCCTCCTTTACACGTGCTGGGGACAGGATGAGTGTTTTCTGTGTTGAGTTGGTTCGTTGATTGATTTATTTTGCTACTGGGAATTGAACTTAGGACCTTGCACTTGCCAGGCAGGTGCTATGCCGCTGAGCTATATCTCTAGCTATTCTGAGTTCAGATGTCCCTGAAAGGTTATTGATTTTTGTGTATGCCTGAAAAAGATTAATTCCTACTTGAATGCTGGTTAGATAAGAAGTGGACTTCTTTTCATCTGGCAGCAGCCATCAGATAAGAGAAACCAAGATGGGTGCATACAAGTACATCCAGGAACTGTGGAGAAAGAAGCAGTCCTATGTGATGCGTTTTCTTCTGTGGGTCTGTTGCTGGCACTTACCACCAGCTCTGCCCTCCATAGGGAGTCCTTGTCCCACCTGGCCAGACAAAGCTTGCAGACTGGGATACAAGGGCAAGCAAGGGTATGTCCTATACAGAATTCATGTGCATTGTGGTGGCCCAAGGGAGCAACTTATGGCAAGCCTGTCCATTGTGGTGTTCACCAGCTAACGTTTGCACAAAAGCCTGTCTGTTGCTGAGGAGCAAGCTGGATGCCACTGTGGCGTTCTGAGAGTTCTAAATTCTTACTGTGTTGGTGAAGATTCCACATACAAATTCTTTGAGATTATCCTCATTGATCCGTTCCGCAAAGCCGTTAGAAGAAATCCTGACACCCAGTGGATCACCAAACAAGTCTATAAGCACAAGGAGAATAGTGGGCTGCATCTGCAGGCTGAAAGAGTTGTGGCCTGGGAAAGGGCCCCAAGTTCCACCACACTATTGGTGGTTTTTGCTGTGTAGCTTGGAGGAAGCACAATACTCTCCAGCTCCACCATTACTACTAATATAAGTGATGTTCGTAAAATTCATAACCTAATAATTTAGGACAGAAAAATGAGATTTAGGTAACTGTGGTGGGGTATGCCTATGATTCTAGCACTCTGAGAGATTGAGAAAGAGGATTACAAGTTTGAGCCCAGACTGGCCTATTTATCAAGACCCTGTCTCAAAATAATGGCTGGCTGGGGAATGTAGCTGAGTGCAAATGCCTTGGATTCAATTATCCGTACTGAAAAAAAGGAAAAAAACAAAAACAAAAACAAAACCTCCCTTGTTTGCCAAAATAGAGCAAATAGTATACATATAAGCTAGAAGGCAAGACAAGTACAGTGGCATACCCCTGTAATACTGGTTACTTGGGAGGCTGAGACAGGTTGAAGGCTAGCCTGGCAGGCAGGGGAGAGATATGGGGTAGTTGTTTCCTGGGTCTATTATGTGCCAAGCTGTCTAGGTGCCAGGCATGAATGATGAGTGGCAGACTCAGCTCTGTCCTCTGGAGTTTCTGAGCCAAGTGGGGACACTGATCTGAGAGGACTCCAGAAGACATTGCTAATCTTCAGTCTAGTCTTCAACAGTGAGAGATGACTTTCTCAAATTGAACACAAGGAACAGGACATGCAAAGGCCCAGAGATGGCAGAATTGAGGTTAATTGTCAGAGGAGAGGAACAAAGTTAAATGACAAAGCCTAAAAGCTTGGCAGCCCTATGGGCTATGCTGTGACTTTACACTGAGATTGAACACACTAAAGTTTTAAGCAAGGGAAAAACAAAACAAAACAAAACAAAACAAAACAAAACTCAAATCTCTTTCAAGAGTAATGTCTGGCTGCCAGTGTGGAGATGGGTTGGACTGGAGGATGGGAGGCCACTTAAAGAGTTGTTGCTATAGGTGAGGTGGCTTCCACTACGGTGACGAGAGATGAGAATACCAAGGGGTTGAGGGTTTGAGATACTGAGGAAGCAAACTGACTCTCTTCATGGTATTGAAACAAGGCCACGTCCATATCCATATCCATCAGGAAACCAACTTAAGACCAATCAATCTATCAGTCCAGCAGAGTAGGGTTCACAGGGATCTGCCAGTATTTGAGGGGAGTGACTAGACCTTGTTCAAGAATCCCTAGGTGGAACTTCAGCTCTCCTAGGAGGCGGTACTTGAGTAAGATACCTACTCAATTCTCTGGTAGCACTTAAGCACTTAGTTGGGGACAAGGTGGGGGGAAATGCCAATCGTGGCCCTTCTTCTTGATTTTTTTTTGGTGGAACTGGGGATTGAACTCAGCCTCTTGTGCTTGCCAGGCAAGCGCTTATTCTACTGAGCCATCTCCCTGGCCCTCTTGGTTTAAGAGCAGGCATTGACCTCAAGGAGGTGCATGGGAGCTTGACCTTGGGTGATGGCTTGGTGGTGGTTAGGTTGGAGGATCAGAAATACCTGGCTCATTCTCAGGAGAGCTTCTCTGAGATACCTTCCAGCTCTCACAAATGACTATATGGAGCTCTAAATACCTTTTTTTTTTAAAGGGGTGAAGTGGTATAGATGAGTTAATCTCAACATTAGTTTTGGACAGCAGGTGTAGGAGAATATGCCTGAGAGCTACTCAGGCTTCTTTCCAAGTTTTTTTTTTGCAGAACCGGGGATTGAATTTAGGCCCTTGTGCCTGCCAGGGAAGTGCTTATTCTACTGAGTCATCTCCCCAGCCCC